GACTATTAAATGGATGTTTAAAATTAATTCTTATATTTGTTATACTAAAGCTAGCTAAAAATACTTTTAAAATATATGTTCACATTTTATCTATTTTATTTTATTATCACATTTATTTATTATTACATTTATTTATTATCGCGTTTTATTTTATTACTGTACTAATTTGGTGTTTCACCAAAACCTTGTTGTTTACCTTGCATTTTCCTGAAATCTATAATAGTAATATTTTTAAAAAAAATATTATTCAGAAACATAAAAAAATACTTCCAAAAAAAAAATAAACGAAAATATAAGAATAAAATTTAGATTTCACTAAATTGATTAACATGATTAAAAGAATATGCTATTTTATTGTCTGTAGAAAACTTTAACACTTGACTTCAAATTGGAAAGAGAAAGACAATTATTTTATTGATTTACATTTTGTGAATAAATTAAAGAGAATTGATAGAAGGGAGGAGCTACAAAAAGACGTACAAGAGGGCGTTGCCGAGAAATCCAATCAACGCACTCAAAATCTTTCTTCACATTCCACAGTTGTAAAGGTTGCGTATAGTTCGTTCACCGGGAGTTAGCTCCATGACTTGGCTCCACCTCCTCGGTCGAAGAATTTATTTCCGCTCGAGAGTAAGAGGCAAAACGTCTCCGCACCTTAAATTGAGACAACCCTTAATGCGCGCCAAACGCAAACAGTGAATTCTTTTTCAGTCACTTACTTCGCTTTATCATCTACTATTATACATTTCATTACTCTAGCTAATTAAATATATTGAAGCAGAATGTCTGAAAAGGAACAAAGTATTCACTCAAAAGAAAGAAATATCATCAAATTCATGAAATATTAAATGTTTAAAAATGCACATTAAAATTGCGAAATTAATATTTTAGTCATACGATCGCCAAATAGCACCCTTCTTCAGGATTGTTCACATCCTTCTGCCAAAAATAGTATCATCCGATACCACGTGATGAAGGCGGAGCCAAGTGCCAACTCCTGGTGAACGAGCTATACATGATACACGGAAACAATGCTAACCGTATCCCGTCATTTGTCATGAAATTGACGAGTCTTTTTTCCCGCCCATGGTAGGTTATCACTTTTATATTTATACATTCTTATAAACTATGAATATTTATGTCTTTTTCGATTAAAAGTTAAACTATCTACTACTTGTTTTTTCTTTCCTATAATAAAACGTTTTATCGTTTACTGTTAGGTATGCGCAGTTCAACTTGAAACTGTTCTGATTCGAAAAAGCTATGAAGTCATATTTGAAATTATATCGATAACAAATGATTTTATTTAGGAAAAAAAAATTATAAAAATTTTTCTTCCTTAGATCAATACTGCATAACAAAATTCTTCTGCAAACGCAAGCAGATTTAATCTGTATAAGCTCAGAAAGTTATACTTTTACTCGTTGTAGTTTTCAGAAGACTGCCAGTAACTCTTAAATAGTATTTAGAGTTATGTATCAAATTTCTATGTAGATAGAAGCATTTATTTCTTCATTTCAATAAAACAGCAATAATGTAGTATTTCAGACAAATTTTAAAGGAAATACAATGCAGCTTAAACAAGAAAATGGTAATTTTGAAAGAAAATTATATTCTTATATGTAATAGGGCCCGGCAAAATTCAAATAAAATTTAAATTATTGTTCTCTCACGAATGTAGACTTACGAATTGCAAAATCATCACGCTCATTGTTTATTATTCTTTACATTTATAGTCGTTTCTTCAGGTAAAGGTTCGTAATATTACACTGACGAAAGGAGGATGCGTTAGATATTGTTCCATTCAATGCAGACAAAGCGTTTAGTTAAAATTTATCAGGTAAAAGACCTTGTAAAGAATGTATATGTCCCGTGACTATTTCTTCTTATCTAAGTACATTTGTTTGAGTTTAACGTTGTATTCACGTCATGTTCTTCATTTAAAATTTTCATGCTACTTTAATGTTAGCTTACATTTTCTATGAAACTCGTATAAATGCACTATAAAAATAAATTTTTACGATACTTACAAGCTATTGCCCCTACTTTACTAATTCCTTAGAATGAAAGTTGATACAATGTTTTTATTTAAACAAAAATGTTTAAATTATTCGAAAAATTTATAAAATTATTTGTCCTATTCATTTTTAATTCTCAAATTAGCTTCTTTAATAAAAAAGGCATACGCGGAAACAAATTTACTTTAGTGGTTTGTTAGTTATATAAATTTAATAAACAACGGCAGCGCCATCTGGTCGTTTATAACCAAAATGGTGTGTTAAAATTGAGCTTAGTTTCCCTGCATAAGGTAAAATGTTAATCAACGTGACGTTAATTAAACATAGCGCCATACCACACATATAATTTGTTGAAGTATCTCGTCTGCATCTTTTACTTAACTTAAATTTATTATTTGTTTGTGTATTTTACTGTAACCGTGATATATTTTTGTTTTGTGTACCTGGCGACTTCGATGCATAATTAGTTTATGATATGCATGGCTTCGTGTCTGTCTTTGTGTTAATTAAGAAGCGTGTAATGAAAAAATTGAAATCTTTGTGAAAGAATCTTTGGGAAAAAATATAGAAAGTGTCATTTAAACGAATTGATTCTTGACGGGATTGGCTTACTCGAAATAGAATAGAAAGAGCTGTTGTTGCTGACATAAACAGATGTCACGTTTCAACAACCAATCAGGATCAAGATACCCAAATTTTAAAAAATTAAGAAAAACAATGATTTTTTGAAAAAAACCCAATTTCAAATAAATATTAATAAAATACGATAATTTCTTTTAGTTCCAAGTTAACAAAATAAAGTAAAATTTAATTTATTATTATTTATTTTAATTTTAAATATGCTATCTTAAATGAAAAGATATGTAAATACTTTTATATTTGAATAAATAAAAAATATATGAGAAAAAAAATTTAATCTAAGGGCCTCAAAAATTTTAATGGGTCCATGGTAATTCATTTGTGGTCCATGGTAACTCATTCATGGTAATTCATACCTTTCATGGGTAATTCATTTCTAAATTTCTTTAAATTCGCATTCCATGTCCATGTTCTTAGTTCGAAAGTAGGCTTAAACAGAAAGCAACATTTAACAGCTTTAAACAGCCTGCTAACAGTGATGTCTTAGTTGTGCAACTCACGCCAACGTAACGTAAAGATAAATAGCATTTAAAATCAACGTGAGCATGCGCAGTTGTTTCATTCTTACGTACGGGAGTGTCTGGATGCTAACGTAAAAGTGCGAAATCTCCCTAATACAATATCGGAGCACCCTTATAAATATTTACAGATAAATATTTTGCTTTTATGTAAACCTTCATACCCCTGTGACCCCTTAAGTAATCGCAGCAACAGTGCATTTAAGAAATGAATGCTTTATTATTAGTGTAATAGCGCCTCAAAGGTATTAAACTAGGTAATAAAATTAATTTCGGAATTTTTTATTATTCTTTATCATTTTGTCCTCCTATAAAATAGGTTCAAATAACTACTAATATATGTTGCTCTACCGTTATACTATAATAAATAAGTTTCGAGAAAGTTAAAAAAAAAAAAACTTATTAGTATTTATTTACAAAGCTGGAAATTGTTCACTCATACTGAAACACTACTGTATCAAAGAAAAACAGTGACAGTCGAGTTGTTTATAGTTCCTACAGTTTCATTTATTCAGCTATCATATTTCTTAGTGAAATATAACTGTTTTCCTGTTTCTCAAATGTCTTACTTTTAGAAAAAGTATCATCCATGTGATATTTAAAAGTCATACTGAAAATAGAGAGATAGAGCATTGCAATAGCAGACACGTGAAATGTGCTAACTCAGATAAAGTGTTTCAGGCACAAGAACAATCGATGGAAAAACTTATTTTAACGAATCTGTGAGTCCAGCTTTCCTAATAATTTGGAGCAGATTACAAAATCACTGAATTCATATTTTTTATCTATAATGTAATTGTTTAACAATAGATAAGAACATTTCATTTTGTGATACATAGATTGAAACGGTAGATAAGAGAATATAGATATTTCATTTAATGTTATTGAGCCTTTTCATCGACATTTCTTACGATTAAAATGTATTCAATGTTTCATCCTATTTACATTTCTGTTTATTTTATTTTGATTTATTGAATAAGAATTTCATTTTATTCAAATTCGGAGCTATTGTTGCAACCATTTATTCAGTCCCCGTTCCTTCGAATTTGTTTTTATTTCATCGGAAATTCAAATCGTTGGAATTTAATGAAGAAATCATTTAATTTTCGTTTGCATTTCATTTTATTTAGATTTATTTAATTAAAATTTATTCTCATTTTAATTCATTTGATCCATATTCCATTTGCTTCGGAGTTTCTATAGCAACCATTTGTTCAATCCAATTTCATTCGGAGTTGTTTTATTTCCTCGGAAATTCAAATCGTTGGAATTTAATAAAAAAATCATTTAATTTTCGTTTTCATTTCATTTCGTTTAGATCTATTTAATCAAAATTTACTTTCATTTGAATTCATTTTATCCATATTCCATTTGCTTCGGAGTTTCTATAGCAACCATTTGTTCAATCCGATTTCATTCGGAGTTGTTTTATTTCCTCGGATTTAGATTTAATCAATCAAAATTTCATTTTATTTTGATTCATTTTATCCATATTTCATTTGTCTCAGAGTTACTAATCCAATCATTTATTCGATCCCATTTCATTCAGAGTTGCTTTATTGAATTGTTTTCATTTGTATCATTAAATAAGACATAAGAAGTGCTATAACATGGTCGAACTTTGTACCATATTATGGTTGTAGGAAATTTGGAAAATATTACGGTTCAACATATTAAGGTTGCTAGAAATTTGAAAGATAATGTGTGCCCTAAATTTTTTAACAGTTGGTAATTAATAATTCACCTGAAAGTGAAGATTATTGAAATTTGAATAACTGTTTGTAGTTTAATATGGTCTTGATTAAAAAAAAATCACAAACTAAACTTGCCTGAATCAGATTTCTTTTATTCAATATTACCTTACATATTGATAACATGAAGTCCATTTATATATTACTAAGGAAAATTCAATTGGATTTTTTTGTTGTTGTTTTATTTGACAAACCATAAAATGTGCTTAATATTTAAGTATTAAAATACAAAATATCAAAAACTTCCTTTAAAAAGCATATTACCAACAAAACAATTGTCTTCACACTTGCCACCCATTAATTAAACTTAAATTACCTTACATATTGATAACATGAAGTCCATTTATATATTACTAAGGAAAATTCAATCGGATTTTTTTTGTTGTTGCTTTATTTGACAAACCATAAAATGTGCTTAGTATTTAAGTATTAAAATACAAAATATCAAAAACTGCCTTTAAAAAGCATATTACCAACAAAACAATTGTCTTCACACTTGCCACCCATTAATTAAACTTAAAATACATGATGATTCTGTAAAATTTTTATCAAAAAAATAATATCTTTGAGATCGAGGTATATTTATTTTAGAACAGACCTTAAAGCTCTGCTTTTATATGACAAGAATTCTTAGAAATCTTCTACTATAATATTGTGCAAAATTTCTGCAACCTAAATACGATCTTAAATGTAACCATATATTAGTTTAAAACAAACCTTTATGGCGTGCATTTAGATCCCGGAAGGATTAACTTGCACGATAACATAGTTCAATTAGGCTCCTTATTAACGTTGCAGCCAATTCGAACAATCATATTTGATCGATATTATTCTCTAAACTTATAGAAAATTCGGCAGAATATTGGTATTTTGAACCTATAGTGCAAAGTTACCAGAACTTATACGATTCTAAATCAAGTCATATTTTAGATCAAGTTATCGTATAATCAAGTTCAAGAAGGGGTAATTTGTAATATATTAAAAATTCCATTTAGCACCTTATTAAGGTTGAAGCAAATTAGAACAATATTATTTTTTACACTGTCTGAAAAATTGGTCTTATATTAAATCATAACATCGTGCAAAGTAGCTATAACCTTAATATGATTTTAAAATGAATCATATTTTCGTACAAGATGAACAAATTATGTCGTGTCTCAGTACCAGAAAGTCTCAGTACCAGCACACTTCATCGTATGGTTCAAACTGGACCTTTATAAGATTGCTGCAGAAATGTGAATGATATGATGGTTCCAATTTTTTTTAAAAGAGTATAATTTTTCATTTAAATAGTTCTTATTTCATATTAGTTCTTTCTTTTTGTCTTCTAACATCAGTTGGACTTATAGGATACATATCTTCCACAGGGATTTCGTGTTTTCTCGCCGATAAGGAAGGTTTTTTCACGTAACACACACAACAGGATGGGAACCTAAAAGCATCTGTGTAAGTTTTCTTCTGATTGGGATGCAAAGCAAGAAGTCTTTTGTAAGCATATTTTTGACGACATCTTGAGCTGTGCTCAAAGGGCAGAACTCCATCCAAATATCTACAGGGCGTGTCTTCTTGCCTAGAAAAACGTAACAAAAGTATTATTCTACAGTTTCAGTACCAAATTATAGCTTTTTCCTATTTTAACTTCTAAAAATTATAACTTTTCAGAACTTTTTTAAAAAGCTTTAACTTAAGTTTACTTATAATAAGCTTAACTTTACCTAAAAACGCAAAACTTTATAAAAAATTCTTATTTGTTTCGAAGATTTTTATTTGCTTTAAAATGTTTGCATGAGCGGAGTTTAGGGTTTAAGACTATGTATTCTACTTAATATTAATTTCCCCTGATTGTGAGAATTTTCCTCTTTTAATAATGTACCGAATTTTTTTCAGCCCTCAACAAGGAGCATTCAACCTATTAGATATTTTACGAAACATAATAATCTACGACACATGTCTGAAAATTGAAAACGATAAGTTTGCTTTATTTTCTTTAGATAATTCAAACTTTTAAAACCATAATAGCCAATCAAATGATTCTTTAATGTATAGCCCCAGAAAAAGTTAAAAACATATTTAAATTGTAATATTTTTTTAATAAAAGGGTCTAATATACTAATTTCCAGAAATGATCTTATAATTCCTGAAAATATTCTGTGAATTACATTCCCATTTAACCTTTTGTTAAAACAAACTTTTATATTTGAATGTTAAAGTTTCAGAAAAAGCTTTTAAAGTTCTGACGCAGAGCTTTATTTAATAACTTCAAAATTTTTAATCATTTAACTTTCACAAATTGGTTTCAGAGATTGTAATGAATCATTTACCATACTCTTCGGCCAAATTTCTTGCAAGCTTGCTATTTCTGAAACTGAGAACATCTATCAGAATTGAATAGCATTCCAAAAAAGAACTTGAAAAAATTATTACTGAAATTTGCAAATGCGAGTGCAAATGTTCATTACATGCACAGAAGGACATTTCGACGCATATTGAATAGATATATAGCTAGCATAATATTTTCAGGCGTTAATACATTAGTTCTGTAAATTACTATTACGGTTACTATTCTCAATATGTTATGACTATACCTCGGTTAATAAGTACATCTCGGTTATGAGTTTACCTTTTGAAACTTAAAAATACAACCATTAAAACATCAAAACTAATTTTAAAACATCAAAAATAACGTTAAAAAAATATTCTCTAATAATTTCTATCTCAAGCATTATTGCTATCATAAACTTACTTATTACAAAGAAATGCATTGAAATAATTATTTGAAGAGGAATTTGGATGCAAATTTTATGAAAGTTTGAAATAAATTTTAAATAATGAACACAAAAAAAAAGATTGAAGAATAAAAGAATATTTATTCATGCATACATTGATTTTAGTGAGAAGAGCTATAATGTAAGTGGCAAAAATATTAGATCTATCTCACTCAAATAATTCAATAGCGCAAGAACATTTTTTTTAAAAAAAAGAAGTTCTAACATGAAAGATTAAAGAATGGTTTAAAAATTTTACAAAACATCCTAAAAGAGATAGACAATGTGAAAAAGCAAATGCCATCAAAACTGGAATCTTAGCTAGACAACTCCAACTATCTTAGACAGTCTACATTAGAAACAGATTCTATCGAAATCAAAGTCTAAAGCAGTGTTTTCGACTTTTTTAGAGTCAGAAAATAAACTGGAAGAAAAATGTGCTCGTTTACGACTTTGAGTACGAGATGATTGCTCGTAAAAAATCTGAAATGTTTTGTTTTATTTGATAAAAGATAAGTTTAAAAAAGTGACCTTTATATGTTGCTTTGCGAAAGAGAAAAAAATACCAGGGAAAAGAGTTTCCTTTACATCAAACAAATGTGCATTATGAAATAAATATTTCATTTGTTTAACAGTTTTAAGACTCTAAGGAAAATTCTGAACATAGTAAAAATTTACTTGCAACAAGAAATAGAAGTAAAATAAAGGACATTTAATATTATTTCCATAGTTTTATAAATGGTAATATAATGAATTTAATTTGATTTTATGATTTAATTTCATTAAATGACCACATTTGTTTGCATCATTTAATTTGGCAACTTGATTTAATTTGCTGATAAAATTTGCTCATAAATTATGGAAAAGTTCGAGAAATACTTCTAAAACAAGATGAGTAGTCGACACAGGTTGTGTCTCATTTTAATTTTTTTTTTGCATGCATCAAATTATGTAATATTGTGTCAAATTGTACAGTCATTCATTATTAATGATTTTAAAATGTTTTTAAAAATTTTAGAATATAAGAATGGAATATAATAAAAAAAACACATTTTTCTAAGTGCATTAAAAATGAAAAAGAAATAAAGTGCAAAATATGCACTCATTTTGAGAGCCTGCTCCCAAGACATTTTTATGACACAATAGTGATGAAGAATATCAAACTATCAATACATTTGCGTAAGTAATTTTCTAATTTATTTACGGTATCTCTTAATGCTAGATTCCTGTTTGAATTGCGATGATGCCTCACGAATTAAAAAAAAATCTTGGAATATTTGGCGTTCACAGTCTTAATAATTTCAATTATGGGCCGAATATTATGACTTCAGAGTAGGACAAGAATCAGAACATTTGTACTGAATACAAATGAACACCACAGTCAGACTCACAGAAAAAAGATTTTTTTTTTCTGTTAGGGTGATTAAATGAAATTTCTGACCATTCGGTAATAAAGCCCCAATTTTTTACTTCATTCTTCGCGAAATCACGTTTTTTTTGACGAATCTCGAACTCCTAAACATTCGACGGCGTTGCCTCCTCACTCCTGTGTCAGTTCTGTGCTTTCTAGGAGTTTATATTGCTTCGTCCTTATTTGCTTTTCTTGTGATAGTCGAGTACAATAGCAAAATTTACTTTGTGACCCATGAAAAAAGATTAATATTTATTGAAATTTATAAGCTGTAAGTTTTGAAGTAGACACTAATGTGAAATAAAATCATTACAGTAGCACTAGTTCTCCAACATTTTTTTTTAACTGATCCTTAAAATGTTTGCACAGTGTGAAGGGATGGTAAAGCGCTAGGTAGCATGCTAGGTTGTCAAGCAGTTTCCTGAGATAACTGAGTATTCATTTGCTCATACGCATTTATATTAATAGATATGTTGCGAAAAACCTGATACTTTTGATTATATTTATATCCTGAAACAGAAGGATACGGCAATATCTTAAACTTGGAGAAAAGTCTATCCGGAACATTTTACAAAATAGGAAGGAAAAAAAATATATAATGAATTAGCTCTAAATAAGCGGTCGCCAGTGTCTAACCGGTGATCATTACGTAGAAAATGGCTACCAAAATATCAATTCCGATTACGTGGATATGGTTACCATGGTTAGGGGGACATGGTTAATGTCTGGTTAATGAGTATATGAGGTGGTTAGTGGTGACCGTTGGTTGGGTTGGTTCTAATGCCACTTGCCACACGGGCAAGCCTGCTTGGTGAAACCGAGCAAATTTAAGGCAGAGTGTGCGATTCTTGCTTTTCAGTGGCGCGATCTATGGCCAAGAAGTCGACTTCTGCCACACCATACGTCGCACCAGTTTATAGGGCGGACCCATTCATTCATCCACAGACCGTAATTTTGACCTGAATCAGAGAACGATCGATCTCCAATCCAGTACCCCCAGAGGTTTTGATTTGTTATGGGAACATGGAGGACTTTGCTACTCAACAGAATTTTAGCATGCATCAGTCACCAACTACACGGGGAGTCTTCGGCCGGCTGGGTTCGAACCCACGAACTCTCGGACATGGACCCAGCGCCCTGAAATATTCTCGATTCATGTCGATTCCCGCGTAATAAATGTTCTATTTGGATCGTTCGTACAGCAATCTTTTCTTCGAATTTCCACATTTTTAAAAAAAAATCCTTTTAATACAATACGAGAATATCGAATCACACCTTTAAGTAGTGATTTTCTGATGAACTCGATTTGTAACAATAAATTTACGTAATGCTATAAACCACTTTTTCGCTACTTGTGGATTTCCTCAGTGTCGTTAAAGTTTCCATAATTTTTAATACGCTTTTATTACTGCACATAAATTTCCAACTACGCTTTTGAGTTATCAATTTTTGTTGAAGTTGCTCTCTTATAACACTTGTAGCAACTGTGAATATTAGAAAAAATATAAAGCTAACGAAGAAGGTACCGGAAGATATAGTGCTATTTCAGATGAAGTGGAAGATACAGCGAATTTCAGATATAGTGGAAGATATAGTGGCGCTTTTTTAAAGCATATGGCTACTTTTCTAAACATTTGAAATTCTTAAGAATTAAGAAAAAAACTGTTAATATTAATAATGTAAGGCATTTCTTTAGAAGCATTTTTCAAAGTATGATAAACATTACAAGGTTCATTTCAAGAAAGTTTTGAGAAACAAGCGTGAAGTATATCAATTTTGCGAATATTTTTTTATGCTCATGATAATTTGGTATTGTCTGAAAAAAAAATTACTAAAATGCACTTAGTGCATTTTTGACGTAAAGGTGGCAATCGGGTTGCGACCGGCTGGCATTATTTTTAATCGCCATTTATTATATTTAGCCACTCTAAGGCATAAAATGTTAAAAAATTTAATGCAAATTTTCGATTGAATTCCATTTTAGTACATAAATTGTTATTTTAAAAGAAAATATTTTATTTGTAAATTGCTGAATTATGCAGTAGCCATGAATCTTTTAAAATTAAGCTACTTTTCTAACACTTAAAATTAAGTCTGACTTGGCAATAGATCTTGTATGTATACATTTTAATTACTGAATTGTCGTGGTGATAAAAATAGTTTTTATAAAACATTAAAAACCAAGATCATTCAGATAACTTTCTCTCAAAAGCATTAGTTGATAGGCTTCAGTTTCCTATTAAGTACGTGAGCTCTAAATTAAATAAACAGTTTGCAGATAACAGCATTCTTCGTCTGAGAAACTAACAGAAATCTGGGACGTATTCAAGATAAAAATATTAGTTTTTGTTAATAATTAAGGCTTAATATTTTATTCGAGATAGACAAGATGCGTTTGAATTATTACTAGCAACCTCCGGCTACAAACGTTTTCGTGTTTTTAAATAAGTAGAATTTGAAAGCATTTCGAGATTTAAAATAGCACAGATTAAAATCAAAATTATGTGTAAGTATAACTTAAACGTCTCGAAAATGAAAAACCTTTCGGAGGAAAAGGAATAAATATATTTATGTTTAAAATTACCTGTGAAAGTTTAATTATAGCATTTCCTTAATTTTCAATAATTTATGTAAGTTTGAGTAATTGTTCCCTAAAACGCGTTTTTACTTCAGCATTTTAACAATGAGTTTAAAGATCTTTAATTAGATATTTTATATCTCCTTTGAATTTCGTCTGTTTCTAGTCTTTTAAACATTTTATAACAATGCTGCTTCCAAGAGATGGCAGCGTGAAACAATAAAAAAAACATCTTCTTCAATATTGTTTGCAAACAAATCAACAGTAACGGATGAAAAACTTCTTAATTATCCAAAACATATTAGCAATCTGTAACAAAAAAAGCCATGCAAATCGGTGAAACTATCTACAAGATTCTTAGGAAAGTTTCATCTGTAACGATGAGTATCAAGAAAGGAATTTCGCATTTTCGATATCACGCCCGAACTACACGACGTCGTAAAATACTAATAGTTTGCAAACCACCCAATAAAATTTTGCTAACTGTAGAAAAAAACACGACCCAAATCTTACGTTCTTGAATTATTCGAGAAGACAAATTCAGAGAATGAGACTTTTGCTTTTATATAGAGATTTTCTAACCTAAAAAACTGTCTTAACTTAAAACAGCGCGATTGGCCACTGACACTTCGGATACCTTCTTCGAAAGTTATCAGCAATGGATGGTGTTTTCTACACTAGGGAACGCTGCAAGCTCGGTACCGTCTAAATTTCCGGGTTACTGTTTCCATTGTATTTTGAAGCCATTTGGCATCATTGTGTTTTGAGATTCTTGCAAACAATGTATTTGATTACTTATTACTTGTGTTTACAATGCTAATAATACTGGTGTTTACAATGCTAAAAGTGTTAACAGTAACGTAAGATGGTGCACAGCTTGCAACAAGAACAAATAGTAATAAACTTATGGAAAGAGGCCAAATCAAGACTGCCAAAAAAGCGAGTTATTCAAAATCTAGCAACCATGTCACCTTTTTTAACAATATATCTCTAAGTAACCAAAACAAATTTTCAATTCAAACTCACCAGAATTACATAATAACATTAATATCTTATGAAATACTGCAGATTTGAGCTCAGAAGTTATCTAATTTATTTCTTTTATTGAAAACAAAATTATCCGTTTGAAAATATCGCGTCGCAGAATAACATGTAGTAAGGAGCAGCAAACTTTCTAACCGGAACTAGAGCAGGCATACAGCTCGAGATTGTTATTGTTTACATTTCTTCTGAAAACACCATCCATATGGTACCCGCAAGTGACGTAATGTTGGTATCTCGATCCTGGTTTGTTGTTAAAATGCGGCATTTGCTTACGTATGCAGCTGTTCTTTCCATTTTTTTCCTGAGTTAGCTAAGACCGTCAAGTATTAATTTTTCAGTGACACACTCTATATTCTTTCACAAAAATTTCAAATCATTCACTATATATTTCTTACTTAACACAAAGACAGACGCAAAGCCCTGCAGAATATGAACAAACTAATTATGAATCGAAGTTGCAAGACGGTTACAAGTTACAAGACGTAGAAAGAATTACATTTTAACAAATTCCATGCGTGATACGGCGTTGTATTTAATTAACTTCACATTAATTAGCATCCTAATTTACGTGGAGGAACTTAGTTCGACTTTAACACGCCATCTTGTTTATAGAAGATAAGCTGGCGCTGAGGTCACGTGTCTATGTATCAGTTAATCGTCTTCTACTTGAGTTGCTAGTACCCATTCAGTTCAACAAACAGTTTAACAACTAATAATTAATTGTATTATAAAAATTAATTGTATTGTATTAATTTAATTTTATTATATTATTGTCGACCTGGGCTGAAACCCAGCATCTCAACTTTAGCAANCATGCAAATCGGTGAAACTATCCGAAAGATTCTTAGGAAAGTTTCATCTGTAACGATGAGTATCAAGAAAGGAATTTCGCATTTTCGATATTGCGCCAGAACTACTTGACGTTGTAAAATATAAATAGTTTACAAACCACCCAATAAAATTTTGCTAACTGTAGAAAAAAGCACGACCCAAATATTAAGTTCTTGAATTATTCGAGAAGACAAATTCAGAGAATGAGACTTTCGTTTTCATATAGAGGGAGATTTCCTAACCTAAGAAACTGTCTTAACCTAAAACAGCACGATTGGCTACTGACACTTCGGATACCTTCTTCGAAAGTTATCCGCACTATGATACCTGCAAGTGACGTAATGAGGGTAGCTCGATCCTGATTGGTTGTTGAAATGTGGCATTTGTTTACGTTAGCAACTGTTCTCCTTTTTTTTTTTTTTTTTTTTTTTTTTTTTTNTTTTTTTTTTTTGAGTTAACCAAGCCTGGCAAGTATCAATTCTTTAAGTAACACAGTCTACATTCTTTCACAAAAATTTCAAATCCTTCATGAAGTACTTTGTACAACTAAATAAGATTCTTTTCACAACACTTAATTATTTACTTTATTTTATTCATATATAGAGAGAACAGTTTGCAAAGAATTCTGTTAGATTGAAAAACATTTCGCTAAAAAAGAACGAATTCTAAAAGGAATAAAAATAAACAACTTAAAGAATAAAAATGGTGTTGCCAGTCATATAATTTTTTGAAATTTAACTTAGAAATTGACAAACCAAACGATATTAACAAAATGACGTAGAAAACGCAACTAGATCAAAGTTATACAAGCGCAACTAGATCAAAATTATGATACCTGAGCGCTTGACGTAACACTTCACTATATATTTCGTTCTTAACACAAAGATGGGCACGAAGCCATGCAGAATATGAACAAACTAATTATGCATCGAAGTTACCAGGCACACAAAACAAAAATATAACTCCGTTAAAGTAAAATACATAAACAAATAATAAATCTAAGTTAAGTATAGGAAGCAGACAAGAAAGAAATGCATTTTAACAAATTCGATGTGTGATACGGTGCTGTTCTTAATTAGCATCGTAACTTACGTGGAGAAACTTAACTCGACTTTAACCTGCCATCTTGTTTATAGAAGATAAGCTGGTGCTGAGGTCATAGGTAACGTGTCTATGTATCAGTAATCGTCTTCTTCTCGGGTTACTAGTACCCATTCAGTTCAACAAACAGTTTAACAATTTTTAATTGTACTATATTATTGTTTGAAAAATTGTAAGGAAATTAGAAAATTACTTACTCGCACATTTCAGACATGACTGCTTGGACATAGTCATCAACATCATTGACCACGAATGCCCATTGGTCGTTCTCGTTGACCGCTGCTTTGGGGAAGAAAAATCTAGAATACTGAGGACACACAGGATCTTCGTATATCTCTCCCGGAATTCTTCGTGCTGACATTGTCATCGTTCCAAACAATTCTTGGAACTCATCTTTGGAATAAGTTATGGCAGACCGAATCTCACTTCTAGAAGTATAAAACAGAGCTTTAGGTTGGTGAAAATTATTTAGAGTTATGATCCGTTTTTGCGGACAGGAAAAAAAAATCGTTTAAGTAATGAACAGCTAGTAATTATTTTAATTTTAAGACGTTGCAAAGTTAACTGTTAACCGAGCCTACAGTCACAACATAAATATTCGCCTCATATCCATCCAAAATTTAAACAAATGTCGGCTTTGAAACCATTTTGTTTCACTCCAAGCAGACCTTGTAAGTAGAACCGGTTGAGCCTCATTCCTGACTTCGAAGATCACTTCAAGATGAGGCAAATATTCCCATTGAAAACTAAGCAGTTGAGAGGTTCGCCCACTCCAGTTGTGTATAAAAAGAGTAGTACCTATCAGTTATATAATACCACAATACTAGTAGTACCTTTTACCACTGTTTATGAAGCATTGTCGTCGAGAATAAGTTGCAAATTTTTAACGGCTCTCTGAAGGGACAAAATACTAAATTTTCAAATAGATTTTGAGTAATTAGATTGTAGTTTTTGCTATTTTTTACGAACGATTATCACAATACTTCAGGATTTAATTTTTTGCCACTTTTTCGATAAACCATACCACTAGCGCTGAGACCATAGAACTGGAATGGAAATAAAGGATGCATGCTGTTATATTTCGGCATCTCTCTTCTTCCTAAACATTAGACTACCCTCTCTCACGTGTTCGTAATCGACGATTTTGGCGGAGAAGGAAGGGCGTCACGTGACAATTGAGATGAGTTCTTTTTTCTGGTTGATTCGCTTTTGTACTTATAAAAGCAATAGAGGAAAGTTAAAAGCTTCAAGAGCGTTAGGATTAGCCGAGCAGTAAAGTATTTGATCATATTTCGACGAAACTTTCCTAGAGTGCAGTAAAATGTTCAAAAAATGAGGAAAATATTAATTGCATTTTGTTCCAAGGATTGGTAACGACAGGGATCACTGCACTTAGCCTCTAAAGTAATTCGCTCTAAAGAGGACATCTTAGCCTCTAAAGAGGACATTGGTTGAGATATTTTATTAGTTATGAGGTACTTTTTTTTATTTATTATTTTACTTTAGTTTAGTTTCTTGATTTATATTAGCGAAAGCTATTAGTTGCGGAATTAAAAACTTTTGCAGACGATCTGAAGATGGGCAATCCGTCTTATTTTGTGCAAATTTCTAAATATTTTTCCCGCCTTACCGGTATTCCAACCCAGATCGCGCAACGATTAAAAATCCCGAGAATTTTTTTCTTCTCTAACTGCAGGTACTGAACTTTCGTTCCTCACCTCAGAAGTGTTGCTCATTTAACGTTACCCAGTGGGCACCTGTGAACCTAAGTCACGGAGGCGAGCAACATTGACCACGCCACACTGCTACAGATAACCGTTCATAGGGTGGGCCACATTCACACATCACACACGACAGAGGACAACACACAGAGAGAAGCATCCATGCCCAGAGTGGGATTCGAACCCACAGCTATTGGCTTCGCAGTCAGGCACGCTAACCGCTCGGCCACCTGACCGGCAAGTCCCGAGAATTATTAAGCATTATGAAGCAGTAGGCGTATCTTCTAACGCAATTAAAGTATAAAAGCTGCGGATTTAAACAAGATCAAGGTAGAAACATTGAGTTCAGATCACCAAACTGCCTAGAATGCGCATTATTGGGATGGCGAGTAGTAGCCAGCCTCTAAAAAAGCTAATTTCTAGACGTGATTTTACTTACTCTGGATAATTTTCGATATTCTCACAATAGGTATCTTTTTGCTTTTTCACACAAAGTGGTGTCCCGTAGATGTCCACTGACGGTGCCATCGGACGCTGTCTTCCCACATATTCAACGACTAGATCAGGGAAGACGGGGAGTGAATGCTCGGTTGAATTAGAAGTTGGAAAAATCACCGTTCGTTCACTCTTGTTTTGAGAGGTACCAGAAACTAAGAACTTCCAGGAAAATTTTAGGCTTAAAATCAAAAAAAGCACCTGAAAAATAAATTACTTTTCGTTCAATGTCTACATAGATTTTCAAAACATATTTTGTGATTATAAAATTAAAAAGAAAGATATATTATAAGAAAGTGATGAAATTATTAGTTGATGAGGTTATGAGAAAGTTAAATTATTGGTTGATGATGAATCCGATAATTTAATGGACATAAAAAATTAAAAAAATATTACCTAATATTTCAAGGTGTCAGATATAATACAACATTTGAGTTAAACTAGTAGGATAACTTAATGTATTCAAACTTAAAAGATGAAATTTCACTCTAATACACATTTGAACATAAGGAAAGTTTGTTTACACATTCAAACTTAACTAATGGTATTAATATATTGAAGTTTTTAAGATTTATGAAAGATGAAGAACGATAAAATTTTTCTTACGACGTTTATGAAAGTTAGCATTTGGAATAAGTAAAAGCTTTCAAACTTTTAATGTTTTTTATTTAAAAGGGTGGTAAAAATGTTTTATGTCTGTGTTAATATGCTTTTACTTGTGATTTTAAAATTGGTCGATTTATAATCTTCATCATTTTATCCAACAATGCGCATATTGTTAAAAAATTGATGAAATTTCTTTTTCGCGTTGGCAACAAAGGCCGTGTAACTAAAATAAAAGCGATTTATCAGTCATAAACATGGTATAAAAGAACATCAAATAATGACAGGCATCTACTAAAGAAAGCAACACCAACATCTATTTTAAGCGTAAATTATTTCCTTTTAGACATGCCTTTACCATTACTAAAGCTTTAAACCATGTGTATTCTAGGATGGTATTCACTATTTCATACTTTAATTTCGTTTAATCCATGTTGTATCTTTAGATTAATTAAAAGTTTAAAATTTTGAGCATAAATTTTCGGAATAACTCACTTTGATGATGAAATTATGTTGTCAAGTTCTAATCAAATTTTAATCAAAACTTTGCTTAAGGCTAAATGCTTTTACTTAAAGTTTAAGGTTTTGCTTGAGGTTAAGTGCTTTTTTCTTCTTCTACGTTTTCTATAATTTTCCATTTTTTCTCATACAACACTATTTTGTTTCAAGAGGCTGTAAAAAAATCCTATCGGAGTCAGTGTTGCTTAATTAATTTATGGTAATTGAAAATACAGGGCCTTAAAATTGTCTCAGGAAAAAGAGTGAAGGGCGTCGCCCTTACAAAAATGTCAGGTATTTTTGAGGTTATTTTGAGGTCTCCAGGTTTATTTGAGGCTTATTCGAAATTGATTTCATAAAGAACCTTAAAAGATTAACAGCCCAAGATGTATAAACAATGTCTATGAAGATGTTTTATTCACATTTGAGGTTGATGGAAATCTACTTAAAAGCAACCAGCTTGGGGGTTGTTTGTGTGGTGTAAATAATTCCATCTTATCTGAACTAAAATTATGTTTGAGGTTGATTTTGTGAGGTGTGAAACAGGTTGAAATTGAGGTTTATTAATGAGGTTATTTTGGTGCAAAACATAACCTTATTTTCCACCTCGTTTTTTTTTTTTTTTGCATTTGTCAATCTCAAAACGACCTCAAAAACACCGTATTTGACGTGTGTTTAGCGTTGGACGTGTGTAAAGACGTGTGTTTAGAGTTGCTTTTATTGTAGTACCAGCAACCATTTCTGTTTATTGTAATACCAGCAAGCAAAAACTCAACTAACTTGGGTCTTGTACGAATTTGCTGCAATGACAAAGTGAAACTCAAAGTTCAACTCAATATATTTTCTCAATATGTTGGGGAGTTGGCATGACATAAACATACAAAAATGTTCTGTGTTTACGTCAGTGCGTCGGCTGATTTGTTCATTATGTAGAAAATTAGACAAATATTCAATCTTTTAAAGTAGGTAAATATCATGAAAAAAAGATTCTCATTTAATTTTGAATTGAATCTCATAAGTCTGATAATTAAAAACATGCAGATTTTCTTTTTAATGTAAGTTGATGATATACGCTTTCACATAAATATATATATAACGTTCATATAGAATATTCATAAAACAGTGCACACAACAGCGCAAAAACGATAATCTCAATAACTGATTCGCTTATAAATGTAACATCATGCATACTTATATACTTATGTTGCTTATTTCGTGATATATTTCATCAAAAATAATCTTATTCGTTATAAAAGATAATTTTTGATTGCATTTTTACAATGTATTACTCATCAAATAGTAACTAATTTGAATTCAAGTTGCTTTCATGTTCGCGTAACTGAAAGTAAAACGATTTATTTCATTATAAGAAATTAAATTTATGTTTTTTGATAAAATAGTTTTCCTAAAACAAATCATTTCTTAGCAATTTCATATTGTGGAAAATGATGCACACAATTTATGTATTTTAAAAGTAGTCTGTAATCGAAAAAAATTCAAAAGTGTTCGATATCTAATAAATTTATATTTATAAATGCGTTTCTTTAACTCATCATATTTTTTTTAAAGTTAACTTTATAAAAATAATGGCACATTAGACAAATAAAGTAATTATTGAAGACAATTGAAGGATTTTTGAACTTTGGCAAACACAACTTTATGGGCGAAACTCCGATCATTTGATAAAAAATTGTTTAGAGTGAATCACTTTAGAACACATGTTTTGTCTGTATTAGATAGAGACTTGTGGTTTCTCTTACACGAATAGATAAAATTTATTCTTTTAACTTTATTGCTATTGTTTCTTTAAAATAAATGTAATCACTTTCGTTTGCAAAATTGATTGATTTTTTTTATTTTTCAGGATCTGATTATATAACTTTAAGTTCCTCACTTATGTCTCATTATGAACCATTTAAGATTTCGATAAATGTTTTAACATTAAATAAGTCTAAATTTTGCTTGCTGCCAACTTGTTTGGCAGTGGGAAAGAATTTTCGAAGTGTTAGTACTTAAAGTAGTACGTGTTTTATAGCTATTTTACCAACCTTTAAAGCATAGTTGCTTAACTATTATATCTGACATTCATAGGTATGAATAATTGATTTGTCATAATAAAAGGATTTAGGATTTTACTAATAAAATAAAATTTATACAATAAAACATAAATGTTACTACTTTTAACCCCTTCTTTCTCACTCCCGTGAAAATGACGGGGTAAAGTTTCGCCCTCTATTTCTCGCTCCCGTGATATTGACGGGCTGGAGTGTTCAGAAGTAACGCGCCAATAAGAATAAAATTAATTCATTTCTTTTGCCCAGAAAAAAATTTATTTCTCATTTTACACACCAGATGGCAGTAGCAGGATATTTTTAAGGTAATTGTAGATAGTTAGGTTATTTTAAACTATAGTTGCAGCACTGATCAAATACGTAATACAAATACAAAAGCCAAAAAAAACAGGCACTTTTCTGACCGTTTTCTTGAAACTTAACCGATCGTTAAGGGGTTAAGGAAAAATTTTCTCTTCCATGCAAGTTGGCACCTATGGGTTTCTACTATTGCACACATTAGTTTAATAGTTTTTAGTTATCTTAGTAACTCCTTACCTTATTTACAAATACAAAAATCTAAAAAAATTTTGGAAGTTATATTNATTATTAGTGAGTTCAAAAAGAAAATTGAAAAACGTAATAACAAAATCCAACATTTTTTATTTAACATTTATTAAACAAATGCATAAAACTCGAAAATGAATGAAAATAACTTGCTAATTAATATTTTTATTCATTTTGCAAAATAATTGCATTTCGAAAGTGGTGTCACTGAGTCTGCTGCCAGAATTTCTCAGAACGTGCTTAGACACGCTGAATAAGCGCTCCACGGAAGCACTAGAAGGTAGTGCAGAATTATATTTCACATATAATTTTTTTACGATTGGATATCAATTCAAAATTGATATGCTTTACGTTAATTAAAAATAAATCCGTTAATTATTCAATAAATTAAAAAAACGTAAGCATTTTTTTTAATTAATTTTTTTTTCTTTTTTTTTTCAGAAAGCTTACCGAGTTTCAGAAAAAAGAAACGATTTCATTCGCTATTTCCGTTACAAATACTTGTACTTTTTCCCTAAAAAAGTAACGAAAGTACAAGTAAAAGTACTAAATTTAAAAAGTAACGAAGTACAAGTAAAAGTACGTACTTTTTACTTGTACCGGCGTTACAAGTAACGAAAGTAAAAGTACTGGCATATATGCTTATGTCTCATTATGAACCATTTAAGATTTCGATAAAAGTTTTAACATTTAATAAGTCTAAATTTTGCTTGCTGCCAACTTGTGTCGCCGTAGGAAAGATTTTTCGAAGTGTTAGTACTTAAAGTAGTCCGTGTTTTCTAGCTATTTCACCAACCTTTAAAGCATAGTTGCTTAACTATTATATCTGACATTCATAGGTTTGAATAATTGATTTGTCATAATAAAAGGATTTAGGATTTTACTAATAAAATAAAATTTATACAATAAAACATAAATGTTACTACTTTTAACCCCTTCTTTCTCACTCCCGTGAAAATGACGGGGTAAAGTTTCGCCCTCTATTTCTCGCTCCCGTGATATTGACGGGCTGGAGTGTTCAGAAGTAACGCGCCAATAAGAATAAAATTAATTCATTTCTTTTGCCCAGAAAAAAATTTATTTCTCATTTTACACACCAGATGGCAGTAGCAGGATATTTTTAAGGTAATTGTAGATAGTTAGGTTATTTTAAACTATAGTTGCAGCACTGATCAAATACGTAATACAAATACAAAAGCCAAAAAAAACAGGCACTTTTCTGACCGTTTTCTTGAAACTTAACCGATCGTTAAGGGGTTAAGGAAAAATTTTCTCTTCCATGCAAGTTGGCACCTATGGGTTTCTACTATTGCACACATTAGTTTAATAGTTTTTAGTTATCTTAGTAACTCCTTACCTTATTTACAAATACAAAAATCTAAAAAAATTTTGGAAGTTATATTTATATAAAATTACTCATTTTTTAGTGCTTCTAAAATATCACAACACTTATAAATGGGGTATTGTAAAGCAACATATGAA